CGCCTTCAGCGTCCCTTAAGTCTTATAGCCATTTAGTCTAGGTTTCGTCGGAGTAGATTATTCGTTGCATTAAGTTGGCTCCAGCTTTCTGCGAGCTCCTCGTACGTCGGAGGCCTTGGCGGGGCGTTACTAGGTTCTGGGTTTGGCATAGGCTCATGTAGCCCCATCGTTATATCTTGTTCGTTTTGCATTCTCAATTCTCTCTCGCTCCGTACGAGAGAAAAGAGTAAGAAGGGTTAAAGTGATCTTTTAGCTTATGTTATGGGCGGAGAGGCCTAGCGAACGAGTATGCTTCTACCTATCGTACAGAAGCTAAAAGATAAGAAAAAGAGAAGATAACTAAGTACAGACTTCTCTTATACCTGCTCGCTTCTGATCACGTGTCCGTACAGAAGGTATATCACGTGGTCGAAGATCACGTGATCCTCTTCAGTAGAGATCACGGGCGCAGCCCTTTACATTTCTAATCTTTTTATTTCTTTTTCTAATACTTTATTTCTCTTTAACCTTTTTAATACTATATATATTTTCTTTTATATATATCTTTTTCTTTTCTCTCTTTATATCTACTTCTTATCTACTTATTATATCTTTACTTAATTCTTATTATATATCTTTTCTATCTCATCTTTATTTCTTCTTTATTTCTTCTTTATTTCTTCTTAATTTCTTCTTTATTTCTTCTCTTAACTCTCTTTTTAATTTTAACTTTCTATTCTATTCTTTTTCTTCTTATTTAAATACTACTACTTGTAACGGCGCAGGCAAGACTACTCGGATCAGTATCGGCGGTAGTGTCACTCAGAGGCATATGGGAGTGCGTGGGACATCAAACGAGCCTTAATTCGAATAGACACCTATAGGCCTTGTACGAAAGGATATCAAAAGTCTACAGAGCTAGCTACAGGGAGTGTCTCCTTATATACTTATCTTAGTCGGATCCGAATCGGATCCGACCTCACAACGAGTGGTTGATGAAGAGGGCGGCGAGTACTACCTCCGATCCGGCTCTGGGATTGGTCCGATACATGGCGAAGTTGTAACATCGTTACATGTGCTGTATTACGTAACTTTAGTACTTTAGCCTTTATCTAGCTACGCTACTACTAGCTTTCTAGATGCCTAGTGCTAAAGAGCAGTTTAGTAATAGGGAGAGATATGGAGTAGCTAGGCTGCCTTTTAGCAAGCTCTCTTAGGAGATAGAAAATAGTACTAATAAAATTTAACTTATTCTTCTTCGCCTTTCTTTCTTATTATTTCTTTCTTATTATTTCTTTCTTATTTTTATTCTTTTCTAGCCTTCTTAGCCTAGGTACTACTTTCTTATTCCTATTTTTATGCTAGTAATAAAAGCTAAAGTAGCTTCTATACTACTTATAGTATAGAGTAGAAGTAGGAGTTTAAGTATTTTTAGCCTAGAGTCTTTTTAAGCTTATTTCTTTCTGCGCTGTAGAAGCTATAGTATAGAAGTAGATACTCTACTATTTATAGTCCCCTACAGCTATAAAGATCTATTTCTCTTCTATTTACTCTATTTAGATAGGAGTTAAAGTATCCATGTCCTATCTTAAGAGAGTAGAAAGTACTTAAAACATCTCTTTTTGTGCCTCTTGCGATTGCTAGCTAGTTTTTAAGATTTAGATATAGATGTAGATGTAGATGTAGATATAGATAGTTAGTATAAGTATATTCTACCGCGTTCACGTCACATCGCGTCGCGTTACGTCGCGTATTTAGGTATCTACGTAAGATATAATAGAGAGGTATAGAAAGGTAGCCAATTAGCACAATAGCAGGCTAAGGTGATCCAAGTGTAGCGCGACTTTGGCCCCACTAGTTAAGGGGCCAAAGTCGCGAAGGCGCAAAGCCGCGGGAATGCGGGGGGGGCGCGTTCAGCCCATTACACAGCGCTCGCTCGTACGCGGCGCTCGCTTTTAAACTACATTAAAGATCATTCGCGAAACCTTAAGAGTACCTCTCTTTTATAGCGAAACATTGCGAGAACTAATAAAGCATATAAGAACGATAAGAACTTGTAACTTTTCTGTTGGTGTTAATTGCTGATGGACTAATCACTTAACACTCTCGTATCTTATACCACCAAAAAAAGTTGTCTGATACCAAGAGTCGAGTACAGAGAGAGGCCAACTTAAGAGATCTGGACAGCTCGGCAACCAGCATTCATGTTGATAACCCTACCACCCACGCCGTTAGTGGGGCAGGAAACAAGCGCAGTACAAGGCTGATCGTGAAGAGTTGTCGTAACGCCAGCGGCGATTACTTGACTAGCGACGGCTCCGTTCGTGGCTGTCTCGATGGCAGTGCAGGCGGCGTTGGCTTGATAGGCGCCGTATAGGGTAGTAATAATAAGAGTGGTAAAGGTCTTCATTCTATATCGCAAACTTAGTATGTTGCAGTGATAAAGATGTGAGTTATACATACTTGATAGTCAAGTTCATGGGATCAAACGCGTCGTAGTGTGCGTGCAGCTGTAGTGATTTCTACTGTAGTGGTATTTGAGTGAAGAGTTGAAGATTAGAGCTCTGGTGGTGATATATATTTACTTCTTATAAGATAGATCAATTCTTTTAAACATTTATTTTGGTCTAAAGATGAGTTCAGCGCATGCTTGAGACTATTCAGTCGCAGGGTACACCTCGTAATCGATCGGGGTAGTGATTGGTGCAATCCTTATTGTTGTATAACAGCCGTACATCAGCAGTGCATCACTACAAGTTCAGTCTTTAATTTTTGATTTTTTACTCTTGCATGGTAAGTGTACTCAGAAACAAGCAGAAACAGCTCCTAGGAGCTGTTTTAGCCTACTAGGGGGCTGTACCCGTTATAGTAGTGTCCAACCCTACTAGATGTGGCATAGGGTCTTAGCTTCACTCAGACAATAAACTGCGCAATTACTTTCTTAACAGCATCTACCATACTAGCACATACACTTACTAGCGTTATCTAGGCATATCAGATAGTAGGAGCTAATTCCTATTGTTTTTTTTTAAAAAAACGGAATTCATCATGCTAGCGTATTACTAGGCTTAACTAATTATTACTTACTTAAAAGAATAGGACGCAGAGTGTCACGATACTCTCAAATGGAGGATAACCCTTGAAGCCATCTTGATAGGTGCGGTCAGAAGTACCACAAAGAGAAACTCAACCAAGGCAAGTGAACACGCGTGGTTTCATCTTCGGAGCAAGATAGTTCATCGCCTAAAGAAGGAAAGGGAGCTTCTTTTTAAATTCATAGAAGAGCCCTTAAGCAGCTTCTACGAAGATACTTAAACTGTTCAAAGATGCAGTGGTAGCTAGAAAATACAATAGAATCAAAGCATGTAAAGTCAACACAGGACCTCGAAGCCATTTTTCCTTACGTCTCGCTACTGGCAACCCTATAGTGATGATTTGTAGCTTGGAGCATGTATGAACGCACGGCTTAGATATGTTGACAGACTAACGATATACTAGGTTCGGACAGCGAAGTGCTTAGATTCTTGCCTGCTGTGTTGCATATACCTAGTTGTAGCCTTGCTTTGCGTAAGAGTTCCGCTGCAGGAGGCGATGGCTTTGGTTCTCTGTTTAGGGCAGCCTGGATAGTGCTGTGCGATATATCAGTCACTGAAGGAGAAGACATGGATGATAGCAGTAGCTTGCAGGGCTGCTTTCCTGAATCCTGGTCATGGTCGAAGCTTAATCCCAACGGGATGCGAATGGACTTCCAATGATACAACGACGGTAAGCGTGAGTCGATATCCACCACGGCTTTGGTTGGAGATACTCTAGGAATGTGGGTTGGTAAAAAGGGACATGCAGTGTCATTAGCTGCCGAAAATTCTGGCGTAGTGTACTCCTTCGGCTCGGTGATGACGAGTTGGCCTGGTATCATTTCGCATTGCAGCTCAATATGACCAATTCCGAAGAAATCACGGTCACTGTGCCAAACTATGCCCATAGCCCATCATGCAATGAGGTTGTTCAAAGCGCCTCTACCGCTCTGCTGAACGACGAGACGATTCGTGTCCATCTTTTTGACAGGGCAAGGATACCACTGCAAGCCATGCTGTACGGCATACCCCCAGCGGATCGACTGCCCTTGATGCTTCACTGCCTGCTCTGATCTGAGTACACGATCGGCATCTGCTTATGTGGGACGGCCCCAACTCTGGACGAGCCAAGAGCCCTAGTTAACAACTGTAGGTATTGGTAGCAGTATTGCTGTAAGACCGACGCTGCACTGGCATTCTGGCAATGCTGCGCTAGTGAGGCAACCTGGCGACATCACAGGGTTCTCACAACGGCTAGGTAGTGTGTTACTTACGGAAAATAAGGAGTAAGGAGAGAGAGGTTAGCATACCGCTGTTGCCCTAGCTCATGTTGCACTGCATGGCCTAGCCCTCTTCGTTTCCCAAGCACTTGTGAATAATGCCAACATATGTACAGGTAGTTACGTAACGACATTTCCACCTCACCGCCATGGTCCAGCTAAGCAACGGCACTCATCGGACAAGAGGACAAGATTTTTAGACACATGAAAGTCTAGAATCGAAAGCGGGAGGATACGAGATGTAGGCAAGGCGCAAAGCCATGACACAAGTCGGAGGACATTACGACAAGGGTACAGAGTGGCAGGATGATATGTAGTCGCGTGGTCCTCGACCTCGCTGCCTCGATCATCTTTTTGTCTCTTTGATCACAGTGGGCCTTGCACCTTGTCTAGGACCAGCCTACCTCTGCCTCACTGAAAATTAGTTGCCAAGAACTCTCAGCAATACCAGTCTAAGTTAGGCAGTCTCTAGCTCATTTTGTAGCTCTAATCTGATTGTAAGACGAGCTTGGGATTGCCCAACTTGGCCTAGCGTGCAGAGCTATTACACATGGACTAAAGACATGGAGGTTGCCTGTTTACCAGCCTAAGTAATGAGCTCGGTAATTACTGTCTTGGAAAACTGGACGCCAAACCCGACACGCTAACCACAAGATTAGAGGATCTGCCTATGGAGGAGAGACGAACACCATTGATACTCAAATCAGATTGTATAGAAGGAGAACTTTGATGTGCTACTGACACCGCCGGTGACCCTTGCCACCATGCCGGCGCTAGCCGGCGCCAATCAATCAAAAGAAGAGCATACATTTTTATGAGGATCCGCCTGTCTCGCTAAGAGAGACTTCGCCCCTGTTTCGCCCAAACCAGTCCTGCTAGCCGCCGAAACTGTTGACCTGACCTGTGTGATTTTACCCCTTGCCAGAACTACCCCGCTACTATCGACGATAATTAAGAGCTTGTTCATAGAGAGTTAATAGTCCAACTCCGAACTAGTTTCAATACAGGATGCCCTCTGATAGACTTAGAGCCACTATAAGAGCATTGTGCTAGCCAAATGTACCGAGCGCACTGAACAGGATGGGTACCCGTACTACTAAGACTGGCTATAAATCCAAGACTGTCTTCAATTGCATAATGAGCTGCTGCGAATATACCACGAGAACCACGTCCCTGGGCAGATGGGCAGAGCCCGCTTGTACGAGGCGCTGCTGTGCGAGCATTGCTTGCCTAGAATCCTGGACTGTGTGGATAGCCAGGTCAGGAACTGCCACACTTGCGGAATGACGACTGCTTCTTGAGAAGCTAGACAAGGAGTCCTGAAGCCATTTCTGATATCCAAGGGCTCCTGCTTGCAACGGCACCTTTGATGCCGAAGAAGGGGCACACCTCCGCACCAAGCATATTCAGAAGATCCACAACCTCTTCAAGACGGTAATCTCCGGCTGTGGGCCGCAATTCGTGTCTGAGTTTTAGGGCTGCGCGATTCGGCGCCTAAGAGCCTAGTGTCTTCGGTAGCTGAATTGCGTATATAGTATTCTAAGTAATTTAAAAATAGTCTAAAGGCTTACGTGTCTATGTAAAGCCCTAGACATTAGCTAACGAAGTCGATCATTCGAATTCTTTACTTTACCAGGTATGGCCCTACACAACTCGTTCGAGCCTGTATGATTAATAAACTTACAGTTAGTAAAGGGTAGAGGTTATGGTTTAGTTAAACTATTGTTCCAAGCTACTATATTGACCGAACTCGGGCTCAGGTTCTTGCATACCACTTGTTCTCACCATACGATTACGTTTCCAGACATTTACTGGAACAGTAATAGTGCAATGGGGTTTTGCTGTGTTTGATCATTTAAGTTGGTTGATAAGGCCAGGGTCTTACCCTGGTGTTAAAGGTGGCTAATACACACACACAATTTATTTACGCCCGGCGGCCGAGCCGAAAGGGCTACTAACACTAGTCAAAGGTGGCTAATAGCCAAGAGGATTTGTTGAAACCCACAGTAAGCATCATCCATGGCCACACAACCCCTGCGCAGCGCTGGTGTATATCGGGTATATATATATATATTCCATTATAGTCCTGTATCAGCCGTTGGCTATGTAAGACTTTGGCCGTAGGCCGTTCTATCTAGTTTTTATTTACAATTTGGAGGTTTCTGCTATAAAGTGTAGCTAGGGTGCTTCGGCCTTTATCTAGCTAAGCTATTACTAGCTTTCTAGATGCCTGGTGCTAAAGAGCAGTTTGGTAATAGGGAGAGATGTAGGGCGGCTAAGCTGCCTTCCAGCGAGCTCTCTTAGGGGATAGGAAATAGTACTAATAAAAGCAAACGTTGTTTTTCTTTTTTTTCTTTTTTTTTCTTCTTTTTCTTTCTTTCTTT